TATTACCATCTCCACATTCCTGAATATTACTATATAGATTTTTATCAGGAATGTAAACACCTCTGTGTTCTATTAATTGAATAAACATAAAAATGGAAAACTTCTTTCTATTGCTTTGACTTTGAGGTAGAAAAAAGATTATTTCAGGTATCATGGACTTGAGACAAAATTATGAGTAGTTCATTTTACTGTGTCATGTAAACTTCTGCAGTGTGAAGAACGTTGTTACCCTGATAGGTAGGAAGTACTGAGTCCTGAGGAGACCCTACACCTACACCTATACCTACACCTTTCATCTCTTCAGTTGGCTTTAAAAATACTCATTTGCCAATGGGTTTGAGAAGGTGGATCACAACCCCACTTCCTTCCTTGCTCTCCTGCTGCTTATCCTGATGGTGGGACCCTGTTATTGCTGACTGAAATGGGTTTGGTCTTCTTGTTCCTTCTACTGTCTAATTTTCCATGAAGCAACTCACTGAACTTACCAGTGATCCCTGCCAAGTTGCAATTTTGATGTTATCTTGTTTATAAAAACAGGGAAAACAATTCTTATCTGTACAGAGTGCAATAATTAAATTAGACGTTCATACCTGCCATGATGGGGTCAGGATAAAGATAAGTAGGATTATATTGAGGAGCTGTTGGTTTGAACATAATTTCTGTTTATAAGATGTGTATAGTTACTTGGATATGTCATCACCTGGATAAGTCCCTGAGGGTCTTCTCATAGGAACTGTCCCCTGGGAAGTGCCTGGCATTGCCTTTAGGCTCACAGCTGGCCTCTCCTCATTGCCACAATTGATGCCTCAGTCCCTGCCTCTTTCTCAGCTCTTTCCCCTGTGTTATTGCTGGCAGAGCAGAACTTTGACTGCTAGGAAGAAGGGGATAAATGGGCACCATAAGAGTATTTATTGAGCTGGGTTTATTGAAGGCTAAATTGAGCCCCAAGCTCACTCAGAAAGGAGCAGAACTATCTCAAGAACCTGATGACACCTCATGTGTCCTTGTGATCATGTTTGACTAAGTGGCACAATTTAGATCTTTCATTGCCTTAATATCTTAATTAGAGAACTGTTCAATGTGTTAAAGGTGCCCTCTTTGGATAAAACATTAACTGGTAGACACAAATGGACTGAACTTTGCCCAGCACACACAGAGGTAAAATAAATTGCTTGGATCTGAATTTACAGCCATCATTTACAGCCACTGTCTCTGCAGTCTCTCCAGACTTCCATAAGTGTAATGCTGGCCATAATGAGAGGACTGTGGCCCAGCAGCCTCTCTGTTCAGGAACACTGTTTTGTGCTAAGCCCTCTACACTCAGTTGCCATTTACAGTTGCCATTGAAAGCAGAAAGCAGTCCTTTTGAGTTTTTCTTTATGTTCCCCCAAATATGTACAGTAGGCTACTAGGTAGGATAGAGCAGCAACATTAATTTCTGTCATTGTACTCATTTGTGACGCCATTTTTACACCTTCAGTCATGGAAGTGAGTGCCAGCCATCACATTGTCATTCTGCCCACTTGAAAACACATGACTGAACTGTATAATTTACATATTAAAACATGTAAATAGGGATGTTGAAAGATGCAAATAAGATTATAGAAGTCTTACAGCAAGGAAATTTATGTGGACACTGTGGTTGTTTATTTGTTTTAACGTCTAGTGTTTAAATATTTGGGTTTTATGATCACTGGACAGACTCAGTCTGATGGATACCAGTATGGGTAGGCCAGCAGTTCCATGCCTCAGCACTTTAAGAGTTTTGATATTAAGTTACTTTATGTATTTATTTTAATGAACAATTCGGTATTTCTCATGGTAGATATTAAAACTATAACTGTAAAAAAAAAAAGCAATACTTCTGTTTATCAAAGAAATTGTGAAATCCCACAAAAAACCCCCTCAAAGTCAAAATCTTATAAAGGAAACTAAAATCTTAGAAAACTTGTAGGAAGCAAATATACTTACTACAAAAAATAGTTATTTTTGTCCAAATAATGAGAAAAACAGTGTATGATAAAACAGTTTTGACCCAAATAATACCTGGTCAGAATAATATAGGGAAACTATTGTTATTTAAATTTGAACAAACTACATTAGTAATTTATATTTGCAATTATATCTGGACAGTGCAAGAGACCTGTTTCTAAATAGTCTGGTGGCAATTTTGTGAAATGACATCATGCCAATAAAAGAGCATTTAACAAAGATAAGAACTTGTGTTTCTAGAAAGTGAGATAGCAATAAGTTGATTTCAGCAAAAACAACTTCTAAGTTCATATCAGTTTTGCTATTGGAGTTTTATTTGTTAGTAATAGATAACTGTTGATAGCTGAAAGTTCTTAGCACAGCTTAAAGTCATATATGTCAAGTCAATTTGATCTTTGTTAATGGGCTTTAATTAGAACTCAATTTCTATAAGCAAAAGACTGAGATTAAAATAAATTAAGTACAATGAAGATAAGGAATTTTATTGCTCTCTCTGTGATTTATAAGACAATAACTTGCTCCTTGCTAAGTCAACCAGAAGTACAAAGGTAGGCACACGTCAGTGACATTATTATTGTCCTAGAAATGCAGTTAACAAGCTCTGCTGCCTTGGAAAGCTGTGTTTAGATTAACCACAGAGATCACACCCAAAATGCAGCCTCCAGCCTCCAAAAATGTCTTCATGGCCCTTTTAAAGGCTGGGAGAGAAGCTCAGGGCATGCAGAGACTGGAGGGAAGTGAAAATGAGAAAGGGCCCAAGAGGAAACAGCTTGTGACCTTCACTGCAGTTGTTTGGAGCAGAGAGAAATGTAGTGAAGCAAATCTGCATGTGGTGGGGAGCTGGTGACTGCACAAATGTTGTCATGAGGGGTGAACACAGGAAACTCTGCAGAGAAATGTGAGAATTTTTTGGGAGAAAAGTTATATTTGAAGGGTTTTGCAACAAGAAGAAACATTGTGAAATGATAAAATTAGAAAAATCACCTAATCCACATCCTCTACTGCTTATAATTAAACACTATAATTGTAAATCAATGCTTTGATATTTTGCCATTTCAATGTAAAAAGAGGGGAAATCACACGGTTGGCAAGAAAATTAATCTCCACACTATACTGAACTGCTTATTTGTCATAAGTGCGATGAAAACAACAAAAAAATATTTTACCGGTAAATGAAGTATTTTTTTACTGACAAGCAGGAAAAACTAACTTCATAAAGCTTCTTTATTTAAATTGTACAACATATAAGACAAAAATTTCAGTCACAGACACCTAAAATTAGCTACCAAACACATTTAGGTTGATTTCAGAAGCTGCTGGATATCTGCAGCTCCTTGTTCTTCCATTCAGACAACTTTTAACAAGATTTCCAATTATCTCATCATGGCTGAACCTTAACCTACATGAACACTTGGTCTAGAGGAGGCAAAAGAGGTTTGAATTAATCTTTTTATTGCTTGTTTGCTCCATGGAAATCTTAATAACACTACAGATTAGACATCTCACAGGTCAGATAATTAAAACTGCAGCATTAAGAGTGCAGACATAAATGGATGAGGATGCACTGAAACAAATATATTAAAGCAAAACAACATTGTGGAGAGAGAAAAAGTCCCCATGGCTTAGTGAGAGTAGACTTGAGAGCAGCTTTGGTTTATTGCCAGATCCTTTTCAGTCCCTAACATTGCTGAAAAATCCCTTACTTGGCTTTGTGTAAAAAGTGAATCAACATCTCAATGCACACACACATGCAAATACCCACGGGCATATGTATGGTGGACATGCAGGTCTCTGTGTTTGTATCTCCATATATTTGTGGATTTTGATCCTCTTCCTCTCCTGCAGCCTTCTGGCTCAATCCTGCTGTTCATTAGCATTACTAATTCAAACAAAGACCTTATATTTTCTCTTCTAATCTGGCTTTTTATTTTGTTATCATCTGCTTCTGTCAGTGCTTTCTAAAAAGAGCCCAAGGCACACTGTTGTGATGATCTCTCGGAGTGAAGATCAGCCATCAAACAGACAGGAGGTTTGGAGAAGAGGAATGATGTATAATAAATGTGTCAGAAGAGTCTGTAGAACATATTGTATTTTGAATAAAGTAACTGTTTTAGTTCTAAGAAATCAGTCAGTCTTAAGAAGTGATGTTAAACATTTCGGGAACAATGGTGATTCAGCCGAAAAAAATCGGATTTTAGGGTAACCCCATATGAAATTGCATAATATATAATTGTGCAAATACTTTCTTTATCCTTCATGGTCAATGGAGCCTAAGATTTACTCTGCAATCACATGCTTTATATTGAAATAATTCTCTTTCCAGAGGATTTTTAAATTAACAACATTGAACTCAGTTAAGTACCTTATCTAGAAACAAAAGCATGAAGTTAAAACTCTGCCTTAGTTTTATGGAATCCTGCCATACTTTCATAGGTGGATTTGGGTCACATATGGGAGAATATGGTAGAGTGAGAAGATATTTAATTCAAAGATGTGCCACTCAGTTGACTCTGGAACAGCTTGTACATAAAGAAATAGACCACATGACTGTTCCATGGTGATAATTTGCTAATTTACAGAACAGCTCCGTTTAAAATCAAAGAATGAAAAGGATGATCCCTTGCTCTGAAGTGTTTGCCATTCCCAAAGTGCCAAATCCAGAGCAGTGAGCAGAGATTTCTTTTCTTTTTCTCTTTCTTTTCCTCTTCCTACCAGACAATGGGACAAGCATCCTTAGCAATGTCTAACATTTACCTGGAAAGCTGCAGGTGATGTCTCAGCCACCCCAGCTGGGTGTGCCTGCCTCCCTCTGCCAGACTCCTAAGGAGCAAATAGCAGAGTTAACGTGTTTCTTACATCCCCTTCGAGCTACAGGAAGAGTTAATTTTAATACGAATGTGCAAGAATTAGAGCGTATGTTCTGGGGATTAAAGATCAGCTATTATAAATAGTCAATCTATAAGCCAGCAGCTCGGGCTGCACTTTGACCTTTTCTTTATATGTAACAGGAAAGAGCCGCCCTTAGCCCAGGCTGGGGGACAGCGGCGCCGGCAGGAGCGGCCGGGCGGAGCGCGGGCACGGGGGATTCCCTCCGAGATGGACACGCTCTATGGCAGGAATAAGGAAGAGCACCCAGAGCCCATAAAAGCTGAGGTGCAGGGTAAGTGAAGGAAAATCTGTTGTAAAACCAGCCTCTCTTTTGGTGTTTTCCGATCCGTAAAAACTGCGACTCTTCTTCACCCGCGAGGGAAACTGAAAGAGGCGCAAGGGAATTTTGTTTAAAGGACTGATCTCAGATAATATTTGTGACGCTACTGGGGAATTTTTCTCGCTCCGTGAGCATCTCTGTGTACTTTTCGAAAGTCTCTTTGAACAGGGCTCGTTGAAGCTGGTGATGAGGGATTCCAGCTCGGACGCCCCTCCGCCAAGGCTCTGCTCCCACTTTCGCTTTCTCCCCGCAGCCCTCCCCTGCCCTCCGCTCTCCGGAGCTCCGAGGGACGGCTCTAAAATCGGGGCTCTAAAATCGGGGCTCTAAAATCGGGGCTCTAAAATCGGGGCTCTTCTCCGGTGGCACTCCTAAGTGGCAAAGCAGCAGCACAGGATGCCACAGGCTAGCGTTAAAAAGAGGAGAAACTGAGGGGGTATCCTTCGGCGACGCAGTTTAAAATGGCTCTCTAGGCTAGGGATGACACTCGACCTGTCGCAGAGACATTCTTCTTTCTTTCAGGATTTTTTCATAGAGGAGCACAGAGGAAAGAATGAGAAAACATTTTCTATTTCTGCTCGTTTTACGCATGTGGAATGTGTTTGGAGAATTTTTTTACCTGGGGTCATTGCTTGGTTGGAGTCTGGTGAGGATTGTTTGAGCCTGATGGCAAATCAGATCCACCTGTGTCTCGACTCTCACGAGAGTGTCACGAGTTGTGAGTTAGATATAGTAGTTAGAAAAAAGTAGCTATGTAGTTTTAGTATCTTTTTAAAATAATATATTAATGTATTATAGCATAGTTATATTAAAGAAATCATTCAGCCTTCTGAACTGGAGTCAGACATCATAATTTTTTCCTACTGGGTTTGCCTGCATTTTACAATACCCGACCAACACTTTATATTTCTTGATTTCTTTTACTTTACAGAAGACTTTTTCATACAGCTACAGGAGAGGTTTGTTGCTGTAAATCTTAGTAAATCTTGGCTGTGTTGCTTGTGATATGTAGTCCAAGAAATGCTAGGAATCTGCCATTCCCAAGTACAAAACTTAACATTTGCAGGGCTCTGTTGCTGTTCATTGTCATGACTGAATTGAAAAAGACTTTGTGCCAAATCAGACAAAGTGCTTTGTTTTAATGCCTTTTATTTATTTTATGCTTTTATGGATTTATTTTTTTCCTCAAGATAACAACTTATTATCAAAACATTTGAAGTTATTTGCAAATAAGCAACTTATCAAACCTGATCTCTATTATGCAATAGTTTATTTGAACAAAGACTGCGTACCTTCTGAAGAAGGTCAAGTTATACATGCAATACATTCCTTCTTTGCTAAAGGAAATAAAAGAGAACCACAACCTCTTCAAATATTTTGGTAGTCCTGAGCTCTGCCAGTATTTTGGCTCCTTGTTACTCAGGCTGTGCACTGTAAATATCTATCACACTTCTGACATCAGCTGCAATTTAACCCATCCTCTCCTACAGCCATATGATTTTCTGAGATTCTATTGTTACCATAGTTAATAAATGTTCAAATATTTGGGGATTTCACTGTGTCACTAATGTGTCATCATCCATTACAGAAAAGAATAAAGTCCACATTTTTAAAGCTGCATAAGCAGTTTTGGATGTTGATTTGGTACCCAGTGTGATTTACAGGAATGCTTAATTCCATCTAAGATGAATTATTTGAAAACCTCACTAGTTGACCCTTTGCTCCTTGTTTTTCACACTGAAATTATGTGGAATTGCACCAGAAATTTCAGAAGTTAAATTAAGTCCACAGTGCTTTAAAAAGATAATTTTCCCTTTCTTTTCTTTCCCAGCAAAACTATCATAAAAAAAAATATACTATAGTTATTGCCTTGGAGTTTCTTATGTTAAAAAGGGAAGTAAGGATAAGTTTTCCAGGCTCTTCTAGAAAATAACAGCAACAATAATGATGATGATGAAAGTTCTTCCATTGTGTCAATTTTTTATGTACCTCATGTAATCCAGAACTGTAACCCTAATAGAGTTATGCCCTAAAGATGCTGCCCCATCTCTGGAATTGCTCAGGGCCAGGCTGGATGGGATTTTGAGCAACCTGGTCTACCAGACCTGCCCAAAGCAGGGTTTAGAATGAGTTAATTTTTAAGGTGCCTAGGAGGACATTTCTAATTGTTGTAAAGGGGTTTTAACAAGAAAGTGTGTCAATATAATCAGTGTGGAATCCCAAAATAAATGATAAGGAGAATATAAATCCTGAAGAGCTTTTTATGCAAAGGCAATACCTAGTGCAGGAATTGTGTGGAGAACTACTAAATGTTCCCTCAAGAGTCATATGCATGAAGAAGCAAGTCAAGCTTTTTATTTAATATATGATATGCCTTTTTTAATCTCTTTAAATCTATTGACATTCTTTAATTGTTATTATTCTGTGATTCAAGTAATAGGTGATGCATTTCTCACAGGGATTTGATGAGGAACATTTATGATGCAAGTCTCAACAGCACTTATACATTTTCAGTACAATATTCCTATATTTTGTGTACAAAACACTACATTATAACTAGTGTCACAAAAGCACTTCCCAAATGACACTATATTATGCTGTGTAATCTAATTAATGAAATTTTAGTGAAATTAATTTAGCCTGAAGTCTAAGCTGATGTGCTGAAAGCCAGTGCAAATCATATAACCTATACAATATGTTTATTTCTGATAAGCTTGAGCTTTTTCTGGCACAAGTAGAAGGGTTTAATTGTATCAGTGTAAAATATGAATGCAGGAAGGAAAGATCCAATTTTATTTACTTCCTGATAATTAACAAATTAAATTCCAGCAATCTCATTTTGTTATAGTAATCTCTGATAGCAATTCTGACATGCAGAATGTCATTAGTGCCACATTTTTGAGTAGGGGAAATTTTAGTTAACCCAAACTTCAATATAATTATATGGTATTACAAATCTCAACACACCTGCAGTCTGTCTGACTACCTGAAGCCTCTGCCTTTAGGAAAACTATCCTGGAACATTCTCCTTGCTTAAATGAATGGGTAATGCCCTTTTTGTTTATAGGGCAGCTGCCCACATGGTTGCAAGGGATGCTGCTCCGAAATGGCCCAGGGATGCACACCATAGGGGACAGCAAGTACAACCACTGGTTTGATGGCCTGGCTCTGCTGCACAGCTTTACATTTAAAAATGGTAAGTTGTTGCACACTGGATTGAAAGGAACCCAACAACCCACACTTTGGTGCCTTACACTGCTAATTCTGTTCCGAGTTGGGCTGGGGTGTTGTGGGTTTTGTCTGCAGAGTGCTGTGTGAGGGGGGAAATGATGTGGGGGCAGTCTCTCCACACACTCCCTGACACCTCACCCTCCACAGCAGCAGCTGGAGTGTCTGCAGGGCTGTTTGCAGGGAGATGTTACTTGTCCTTCCTTCTGCAGTGCTGAAGTTGAGAGCTGTTGTCACCCCAGCACAGCACACCCAGCTCTGGGCAGGTCACTGCAGGGCAGCTTCACCTTCCACCCGGGCCAAAAAAACCTGTGTTTTTTCCTGTGGATCAGCCACAGGGACTGTGGCACCCAGAGGCTCTTCTGCTGTGGATGAACAGCTCAGTTTCAGGGAGGACCAGCACTCCCCTTTTGGGATTCGGTTGCAGCTCTAACAGCTGCCAGGAGAGAAACTGGGCCACTGTGTCACTGCACATGTCAAACCTCAGTATATTTGACACCCTGCAGTCTCTCCTCCTACCTGTCATCCTTACGGAGATAAAACAGGCAGCTATCTACCCTGAACAATTCAATTTCCTTTTTTTCAGTTCAAACATTTTTCACCTATTCAGCTGTCACACAGCATGAGACAGGATGGTTTACATCTGGATTCTTGTGGCAAAAAAATATGTATCTATTTTAAAAAATGGGATTTACTCCTGTTATCCTCTAATCCTAGTATTTACTTTTTAGTTCCCATTTCTGTGATTGGAAGCATTTAATGCCATTGCAGGATCTCTATCCTATCCAGCTTTACATCCTTAACAAAATAACCTATAAAGAAATAATCAGTGTTTTTTAAATTGCCACTATATCTTACTTACCTAAAGCAAACAGGGCTCAGTTAGTTCAAGTATTCATTAAACTGTTGATTCCTTCAAGCAATCCATTACTCCCATGACTAAAGTTTGCCAATACAGGAGATTTTTCACCACCCGTAAATGGATTGTATAATTAATTATTTTTGCACATATTGTTTTATTTTCTGGAACAGTTTATCCAAATTCCTCCTTTCCCCTCAAAAGTATTAGTAGTGGGAGTCAGGAAATCTTGACAAACTGTTACCAGTCTCAGCAGCCATAAAGCCTTTAAAACAGGCAGTTGGGGATATTGTTGGTTTCATTCCAAACTATTGTTGGCTGCTTGAGCAACTCTGGCTCTACCTGTGCTAATTTTTTGAAGAACTAAGTATAAAATGTGATTGAGACTTGTTTGTTCTTCCTCAGGTGAAGTTTACTACAGAAGTAAATTTCTCCGAAGTGACACATACAACTGTAACATAGAAGCAAACAGAATCGTGGTGTCTGAATTTGGGACTATGGCTTATCCAGATCCATGCAAAAACATATTTGCTAAGTAAGCAATGCTTTTCCCAAGAAGATTCTTCTATCTACTTCTCTCTTCAGCACAGATGTCTTTCTGTTTACCTTTGACACATATGTACAAATACAATGTTGATTTGTAAATTTACAATTGCTAAATATTGAAAAGGCCAAGAGATATGAACTGCCCATAGGTTAGTCTAAGGCAAGTATCTTAAATTCATTTTATCACCAATATTTGCTGCTTTATTCATTAACACAAGTAGATTATATAGAAAACAAACATTTTCTCCACTTAGTGAAACATTTTGATGCTGTGTAAGGGGAGAAGCAGCAAGAAAGGAAAACATTTAGAGATAGCGAAGGTATTAATACAAAGCCTATTCAACAAAAAAATACAGAAGCATCAATAGCTACAAAAAATTAGAAAAACATTTTGATTAAAGATGGTTTAACAGAAAGGTGAGGTGCAGGCCATCATGTTATCCTTGGTCTTGCAAAATTGGCTGTAAGGATTCACTAATAATTGCAAATAGGTCGCCCTTCTCTCTTTCTTGCCACTAAACTTCCTCTGGTGACCTTGAACCTGGTATTTGATAAGAACACATACACAGACAGTTATTGCAAAATAGCTGGTATGTTGTAAGTTGTTCCCTTGATGTGAGATTTTCTTCCCTCTTCCAATAGCAATAGAGTAACTCTAGCATTTTAAGTTCAAAAGGGTTATAGCAACTTTGTCTTGGCTTCTAGTGACTGTGATGAAATCATACACTGATAAAAAAAAATTGTCAAGCCTATGTGATGTTTCATCTTCTTTGAAGTCATAATTATGATATGGAATAACACTGGTAATAAAAATATTCAATTGGGGAGTATATGAATCCATCTATTTGATGAAGCTAAAAAAACCTCTCAGCTTTTAAGTAGGAACTGGTAGGCCAAATTTTCCCAAGACAGGCAGAGGAGAGGGTGTAATTAACCCATCTTGATAAACAGGTGCATGTCTAGAGCTGGCAGGGGGAATGGACCTGGATGCCCATTTGTGTGTCAAAACCAGTTACTTGCATGTCCTTAACCCTCACCCAGGCCATGGGCATTGGAGAAGTCCATCTCCTCTGCTTTCCCACCCTTTCCAGGGAGCTGCCAGGAGTGGGCACAGCAGGGAGAGGCAGCCCCAGGTTGGTGGCACTGCAGGGTCACTTGTGCCCCACGTGGGGGAAAGGCAGCTCTGGCTTCTGTGGCTCTAATGAAATTTCCCTCTGGACAGGGCATTCTCCTATTTGTCTCACACCATTCCTGAGTTCACAGACAACTGTCTGATCAACATTATGAAAGCTGGGGATGATTTTTATGCTACTGGTGAGACTAACTTCATCAGGAAAATTAATCCACAGACTCTGGAGACATTGGAGAAGGTACAAACCACCATCTGCCATTCTGGTTCTTTGTCTGCTGATAAATAAATTTCAGGCTGACTCATAAGGATACTTTAACATGTTCAGGACACAAAATACTCTTCTTCTACTGTTTCCTTACTTTTGAAATTGTGGTTAAGTGAAATTGTGAAGATACCAAAAGATAAAGGATATCTTTTAAGAAAGAACTCCTGAGTTAAAATGTAAATCTTTAGTTTGGGAAAAGCTGGGCTTTAAGCAATTTCACATGTACATAATCTAGGAAGGTGGCAAGAATAATAGCACAGTTACATGATTATTTTGGGTGATTGCCATTATTATGTATCTGTAGTTATAAAATTATTTACGTAATTAAAAAATCAGTAGGCCAGTTATGTGACTACTTTTCAAGGACCTTATGTAAGATTTTATTTAATTGTTAAAATGAGAACTTGAGATATTGAAATTAATTTTTACAATTAATTTTTTTTCTAGCCCACACTTTGATCAGATTTCCAAACAGATAAAATAGAAATCTTTTAGCTCCAGCAGATTGCCAGACAGCTCTGTTAAATAAAGTGCTTTCAGGGTGAAATGGGCATTTGCAGAATAACTTGCTTAGCTAATCCTCCCTGATGTTATGTGGCTTCAAGGGAGAGGTGGCTCTAATTCAGATTCTGTAACTTGATTTAGCCTTGAATAAGGAGATCATTTGAATACCTAAACAAGTATTTTGGTTCCATTATTTAAATTTCAAAGCCATTTGTAAATGGAGTGCCAATATAGGGCTGCCAGGGCTAAAAATCTGCTGGTTTTGTGGGTTAGCTGAGATCAATTTTCATTCTCTTACGCATCTCTCAGATCTCTTGTTGTATCATTTTCTAGGTTGACTACAGCAAATATGTATCTGTAAATCTGGCAACTTCTCACCCACACTACGACAGTGCTGGAAATGTTCTCAACATGGGCACTTCAATAGTTGATAAAGGGAAGACAAAATACCTTCTATTTAAGATTCCTTCCTCTGTACCAGGTAAGATATATCTGTTATTGGTATTTTCTAGAAACTTGTTTGCAATTTCTTTTCTTAAAGGGCAAGGGTGGTGATATGGCTGTTCTAGCAACCAATGGTGTTCATTTTCTTAATTTCAGCTTATTGTGAACTTTATATTAACTGCTTAGCTTGTCTGGGCATGTGCTGTTACAAAGTACTGTGTAAACAGGGTGTTTCAGTAGGAAGAACTTTACTTTTAGATGGAGACTCTAAAACAACTTTCTCTATAGGGCAGTGCACATAATTTGAAGTTGTAAATTTTTATTTCTTTGTAAATGAAAATTCTCTTCAAATGCTGATACTATGATAATAGTGGAAGCATGATACCAAATAAAACCTAATATGGAGTTAATTCCTGTCTAACATGGCCAATACTGGCCCTTGCTGAAATGCTATCCGTTGTTCACAGAGCAAATCCCTTGCTCTTTTTCCTTCAAGATCTTTCTTCGGTGTGTGTTGTTGAAAATCAGCTGCTATTGTGTTGCCTGTCCCTCCTTGAACAATCAAGAGGCCTTCCACAGATGAAAAGGCAGTTTGCAATTTCTAGCTGGGCCTCAAATTTGGGAACATCTCCTTAGAAGTTAAAAAACACAGGGACATTTGAACCCCTTTTTAAAGCTGCTGATTTAATTAAACATATTTCTCCTCCATGCTGGAGTTTCTGAAGACAGTAGTCAGTGGAATCAAATCCCAGGACAAGGGGGCTGTGCAGGAATGGATCCAGCAGTGTGACTTCACTGCATTGCTTCCTGCATGCAAAGTTAATTTTACAGGAGTAAACAAACACTTTCTTAACAGGAAAATGCAAATACAACTGAGAGGAACCAGTTCTTCCCTGCCTGGGAGAAATCCAAGCACAAGTTTAGAATAGAATTAATTAGAGATAGAATTTTAATTTTTATCATTAATCTTCAGAACAAGGAAAGAAGAAATCTTGTTTCAAGCAGCTGGAAGTGGTTTGCTCCATCCCTTCTCACTCTCTGCTCCACCCCAGCTACTACCACAGCTTTGGAATCACAGAGAACTACATTGTCTTCATAGAGCAGCCCTTCAAACTGGATATTCTCAAAATGGCAACTGCTTACATGCGAGGTGTCACCTGGGCTTCCTGCCTGGCCTTTAATAAGGATGATAAGGTACTTTTCCTACTGCTGAGCAATGGAATCAGGCAGGCCAGTGACCTCTTCTATCTGGTTCATTCATTTTACTAGTCACTACTTTTTTTTTTTTTCCTCAAACCTTGACTTTCATGTTGCACTTTTTTTTTTTTTTTTTTTTTGGAGGCTGCATGGTCTGGAATATTGTCTCCCATATCCAGAAATAATATGTGATACTGAAGCTCTTGAGTGAGAGGCTAATTGGCACTCCTAGAAATATTGTGTGCTAGCAGAAAAATTCCAATTTGTGCTAACATCTGAGACAGATCCAGTTGCTCCTGGTCCTGGTCTGGGGTGGGTGAGATCTGCTCCATGTGCATTGGATGTTCTGGAGAGCCCCACTGGTGGAAAAGCCTGCACTGAACAAGAGTATTTCACTGGAAACTGAGGGGAAATATGTTTTCTGAGTATCTTATTTCTACATGCTCTGGGCATCAACACATGGGACTTGCTGAGGTACAGGGCACCACAACCACCACAAGAACTCTCAACCAAGGCAGATTAATTTAACTTAAAAAGAGAGCAGGGGACTTTCCAGGTTTTTCTGGAAAACTTCAATCCTCAGCCTAGCCCAAATAGTAATTTGCCACAGTAAAATGAGCTTAAAGCTGTTCCACACTCATTTTACTGCTGTGTTCCCTTCAGGTTGGAACCCCTTGTCCACTAGCAGCAATCCCTGATATCTTAATATCCTTCAGTACTCATACACAGTGATTAGAATGTTGGTGGTTACCATTTGAAAACAGTTTTCTAAATAACTATTTGCTGATTCTGAATGGCTTTAAACAATTTTTTCTCTCTTTCAGACTTGGTTTCACTTTATAGACAGGAGGACTAAAAAAGAAGTGCCCACCAAGTTTTACACTGATGCTCTGGTGTTTTTTCATCATGTAAATGCTTATGAAGAGGATGGCCACATTGTTTTTGATATTATTGCCTACACAGACAATAGCTTATATGACATGTTTTATTTAAAAAACCTGAATAGAGACTTTGAAAAGAATGCCAAACTTACCTCCATACCAACCTGCAGAAGATTTGTGGTTCCTCTTCAGTATGACAAGGTAGAAAGAAATTTACTTTTTAACCTGTTTTCTGATTGGTAATTTAAAATACATCAGTGTGAATAATGGGTGTATTATTAGTTGCCAGCCCTTATGTGTAAATTTCGGATTCTGTGATCCCCAAAGAGTGCAGGAGGTTTGGGTTTTATATGTCCTGTGGGAAATGGCATTGGGCAGCTGGCCATGGTTGTGTGGATTGGATCCTGGTTCTGACACCATCCACTCTGGAGAACAAGGCCGTGAAGAACTTGTTGTTTTCTTCCAAATGAGATTATTAGTTAAATGCCATCAAACAGAAGCAGATAGACCCACTTGGCTGTTAACTGCAATGGCATGCATGAGGTTTTGCACAATCTGTTTCTTACACTTCACTGGAAGCCCACATACAATTAATGCATGCTCCCAAATGGTGCAATGGTTCAATTAAAACTCGAAGATTTCATTTAAGTGTGATATATAGAGGAAGAGAAAAGATTTTATCTTTTAGTTTAATTTAAAGCATCATTTTACATCATTGTTTGCAGGGAAGATTTTATACTGCCCAGCAACTCGGGCAAGTTTCTGCCTGATACCTTTGGAATGGATATTACTTTTTCTGTCTACATCCTAGAACATTGCTGCTCTGTTCTTTTCTCAGAAACAGCTCTGCAGCAGTGACAAAGGATGTTTAGGATCACACCAGCTGTTCAGCTGTTCTGCAATCTTAAGAATTAAGTAGTAGAACATTTAGAGTATATCACACCTATTTTTGCACTTGATTCTTAGCAGGTGCAAAAATCTAACCTTGGTGACTCTCAGTGAAAATTTGACACCTTATTCCTTGAAACTCATCTTCATTCATTTAATTCTCAAATTTATAGTACTTCTGGACCATAGCCATGTGTATCTAAACATTTATAAGGACTCAGTTTGATTCAAAATAACTATATTATGTTACATTAAAATACTCTGAGTGCAACAAGATTTCTAATGAAAACCTCAGAATCTAAAATGCCATAAGAAGGATCGTCTTGAAGCTTATTTGTTTAATCTGCAAATTGTTAATATCAATATGAAACCTGATGAAAAATCAAACTTAGAAGCACATTTTTAGAGATCCATGACATTTCCAGCATTTTTCTTTCAGGATGCTCTAGTGGACTCTAATTTAGTCACACTTCCCTCTACTGCAACTGCTGTAAAGGAGAAAGATGGAAGCATCTATTGCCAACCTGAAATACTATGTGAAGGTCAGATAGATCCTTTAAATATCTGATGCTACACCAGTTTTGTATTAGTACAGGATTCCAAGTCTGATATTACTATGGCTTGCAAATCTACTTGCTAAAAGTGTAATTTGAATTAAATAAGTCTGTTATGAGTAGTACTTCAAGTTTAGCTGCATTTTATAAAGATTGCCTTTGAAAGAGTATTTTTAACCTTTGATCAGGGCATAATAACAGGAATATGCAAATACAAAATTACCTAAGGTAAAAGTAATTTCTTAGAATAGTAGCCTCCAATTCTATCCCAGTTATTCACATCATGTATTTATAAAGAAAGAAAAAAACCCAAACCAGAAAAACCCTCATAAATTCCAGTGTAATGAATCCCTAAGAATAAAAAATTGTTGCCTTTTAAACTAACAGCCTGGCTTACTTGTGTTAGTAACCATCGTCAGATTCTTACAAATTCAGACATTCCAAGTATATACAACACTTTTATTAAGTAATTCCAAGGTTTTTTACAGGCAAAATGTCCTGAAGATTGGTGTGTCCATATAGATGTTAATTTGGGGTTTTCTCTTGTCTTGTTCCTAAGTCTTGAATTTTATTTTACACAGGGATAGAACTGCCTCGCATCAACTATGACTACAATGGCAAAAAATACAAGTATATCTTTGCAACACAAGTCCAGTGGAGTCCAGTTCCTACAGAGGTATGCTTAACATTTATAAAGTCAGTGTTTTCCCATTGCTGGGCCATTCACATGCAAAGGAACATGAAATGCCTAATTTATCATAAGAATAAGTTCATGTTGTACCATTTTCCTCATAAAGTATTCATAAACTCAGGCTTCTTACTCCAGCTTTATGTTCCATGAAAGTCTCTTGAATAGCTACAAAGACCCTTACTTTTCTGCTAAATTGGGCTGAACCTTCTGTGATGTGCCAGGAACTACAAAGGAGAGAGTAGGAAAAATAAGTATTATTTACATGTATATATTTAGTATTTTTTCCCTTTAGGAAGCCTAGCAGAAAAATAAGATATTGTAATACTACCTAATAAATTTTAACTATTAAAGCAATATCTATTTTGGGGAAACTTTATATTTTGTTGGCTAGTTCTCTCTTAGAGGTAGTAAATGCTTTGTTTACATGTGCATGATGCCAGAAGACAGCCTGGAATACAAACAGATTAACAGGGAAAGTATTTAATTAAGATTTAAATATTAAATAAAATTAAGGTAATTTAAAGATTTAAATGTATGAGTATTATATGAACAAGCTCACGCTCTACAATTCTTGTTCTGTGACTACAAGGCAGCACAAATTGCAGTCACTGTTGGTTCTTGCATATAATTACCACAACTGATTACAAAATAGAGCTGGATTTCTGCATGATGCAAGAAAATTTATTGCAGCACATCTGACAAAAACAAATCTGCAAGCTCATTTACAGTGTAGATAATCTCTGCTTGACTCAAATATAATAAAAAATAATGGTAGGAGGATCTTTTTTCACATCAGTTGCAGTTTAATGAATGCAAGCCCAACAACCTAATCCTTAGGTAAAGGCTGCCAGTGAAAGTGCTGTCATCTTGGCTAGAGGAAAGAATTCTTTCTAATTCTTCCTCCAATCATTTGAATAGTTTCACTTTTGTGTAAAAGTATTTTTTGGCTAAAGATCAAAATGGAAAAGAATAGAACTGCATCTCTATGGGTAGAGAAAAGGCCTTAATGGAATTGAACTGCAAATGCCAGGCATCCCCTCTGGCCATTGGTTTGGCCACTCAGTGGGATGAAAATCCACACTCTGTTCCTTCAGTGAACACCAGTGTCTGCCTCACTGCTTTGATATTTACACCTCACTAGGAACAGCCTTTCTTCTGCCATATGTACCCTACTGCACAATAGAAGGCCTTGAGGAATATGGAAGTAGCAATAAAAAGAGAATAATTCACAGGATTAGAAAATGGCAAGTTTAAATCCTGTTTCCTGCTCTACTACATAATCTCAGTGATTTGGAACAAGTCACTTAAATACTCAGTGTCTTGGACTCTCTGCAATGAGGGCCATTACTTATAGTGAAGGGTCTTTTGTGGCCTGTTAGCATTTATGAACTATTAAACACCTGTAAATGAAAGGTGCAATTGTAATCTAATGAAATGAAATTAAAAGAACATTGTGTGATTATGCAGCCATAAAATGTGACTCCAAAATTTAACATTTTCACTGTGTTTTTTCTTGTGATGATACCTGCCTTAACTCTTAGCATTGGTCCTCCCTGTCAGCAGTCTGTTCTTGTTGTACCTTTGGGAAAAGCCACTGTCAGGGTCACTGACATTTTTTGTTTCTTGTTACAACCATGTAGATTGCAAAATTTAATACCCAGACAAAGGAAATGGTCCAGTGGAGAGAGGATGACTGCTGGCCATCCGAGCCTGTTTTTGTTCCCAACCCTGATGGAAAAGAAGAGGACGATGGTAAAATAATGACAACCAACATTCTGAAAGCTGGGGTTACATGAGTTTTGTATTAAATCTTACAAGTTTCAAGATTCTTAGTCAAGAAGATTGGGTTGATGCTTCCTCTTTGATATGAGGTTATCTTTTCTGCTTAGTGAAACTTTTCTATGTTTCTAATTATTCATTTGTATGTCACAGGTGTTGTTCTGACCTGTGTTGTGAAGTCTGATCCAAAGGATCCACCCTTCCTACTTATCTTGGATGCTAAAACTTTCACAGAGCTGGGTCGAGCCATAGTAAATGTGGACATGCATATGGACCTGCATGGAATATTTATACCACAGCAAGACATGAAAACTGAGACTGAGTAAAATCTATTTGTTGCATTGCACTACTGAATGTGGGATAATGTCCTTCAGGAACAGCCTTCTCTTATGATAAGAAATGACTAATTATAACCTCCTCAATATCTACATATGGTCTCTTAAAAGAGACAAAAATTACTTTACTACAAATCATTGTGTGCACAACTGGTATATCACTATTCCAAAAGAAGAATTATCAATATGAAGTGCTAATGTTGAATACAGCTTGTGGAGCAAGGGCAATAAATGTTTTATTTGAGTAGAACAAAGCTTTCTGAGCAAAAGAAGTACTGTATTCATAGGGTGACACAGGGCATGAGTTACACATGTCTGCAGGTCATGTAACTTCCATGGGCTGTTGAAAGACTGCAGCTGACAATGAAAGTTGTCTCCTGCCAGAAAACCTCATGTTAAACTGGTGATACCATTGGTATCATGGTGATACCATGATACCAATAATTCATGGCAATATATTCTCTTGGTGCTTGATTTCTTAAACTCTGCCATAACCAAAGTATTATGCTGAGGTGCTATATTTTTCTTATCCAGAACCTAACCCTTCCCCCAGCTTTTCTAATAGTTTCATGGTGTATTTTTCACTTTTACATTGACAAAACCAAGTAACTTTATTGAAAAAGAGTACATGGTTATATGCAGCATTCAATCATACTTTAGTGACATTCAACCTTAAGCAGTTTGTATTTGAATCAGTTTTCCTTGGGCAGAATATCTGCCATTGCATTTCATGTAATTAGATTATTATACTGTGTAAAAGAGAAGAAGAATTGTAGTATTTGCTACTGCCACTAGTCTGTTAATAGCAGTATGTATGTGAATGTGAGCAGTGTATTTCTAGCAGAACTCAGACACACATGCACAACAAACAGTTTAGGAAAGAGTGAAAGATGTAATTTAGGCCTCATCTGAACCCCACAGTAGCAGAAACTAGAAGCTGTTATTGCCATTACAAAGCATTTGCTTTATGTCTGCTTAGGAGTATCCATGTTCTCACATGTGTTGATTCTTGCCTGTACCAGATGCTTCCTAATAAAATTGCACAACTTTCACTTACAGCTACAATTAAAATGAACATTTCAACATAAAGTTCAAGTGCCAAGCACAGTGTGATGGGTTCTGTTACAGAAATGGCATTTTTTACCCCCCAATTGTATTCCTGATACTGACTTTTCTTTAAGTGCGAGCTTTTTTTGCTTTGAATTTTGTTTTCTCATTGTAGATATCTTTGCTGTTGGAGCATCTTTACTGATGGAGAAAACCAGGTGTATATCCATCCATTTTGGGTGTCCATCTGGTCTGTCTGTATCACCACACAGCTCAGGTACCTCTTTGGCACACATATACCCTCAGTGCCTCAGCTGCTCACAGTATTTCATAGGAAGGAAACAGAATGAAATTATTTTCATTTACTACCTCCCTACCACCTGAGAATCTGTGCTTGGTGACCTGTTTGGGATTACCTAAGGTGTTTGTAGCAGAGCAGGAACTGAACCAACATCATCCACAGTTCCTGACTACTCTGTAACAACCAGATCTCTGTTGCTCTGCTTAAGTCTTTGCACTTTGTTAGGATAAAGATATGCAGACTATTTTTAATGCAAAAAAAAAAATCTAACACTGTGGTCAGATCTAGTTAAAATATGCAGGTTTGAGTGTTCAAATGCTTACACATTCCTTAAAATGGAAATAAATATTTCAATAAGGTGTGTCTGCAGAAATAGTCACTTTTAGTGTTTTCAAGGGCTATTACCATTAGTATTTAATAGAAATTTATCTTCTAAAGAAGAAATTTAATTCAATTTTTGTAAATAATATGGAACAAGTACTGGAAGAGAAGATTGACTCATGATATTGGCAAAAGACATCAGCTCTGGCATTGTTTCTTTTCATATGAAAAAGTTTGGATTTAACAAAGGTCACAAATACATTTCTAGAATTACAAGGTGGCAATGCATCAAAAGTCTAACCATTGTTACAGATTTTCTTCTAAGAGTTTGTCTCTAGAATTTCTTCTGTAGTACTCACAGGGTTGTTTTGGGATAATCATAGATTTGGATAGGAGTTAGTTCACTTATGAGGGGATAATTTTTACTGGTAGAGATGACAGGATAGGAGATATACTCATCATAAAAACAACCTGTAGTCTCAAAAAGCAAATGTGTTATTTACAATCATGTAGAAATAATGCAGAAAATAAATTATAAGAACTTATCTTGGATGTGATTTTTAAATGAGATGTACCCTATTCCCTTGGTCAGTACTTCACAAGATTTGATTAAGTTTGTAGTTAATCTGAGGAGAAAAACAGTGATGCAAATCTGCATTTGCTAATCCCAGTATCCTCCTGCAGCAGAGACAATAGGAATAAAACCCTACAGCTAATCACAAATTTGTTCAAGGATGTTTTTAGTGGTTGCAATACCAATCTGATGAAACATTTACCCTGAATATGGTAACACACTATCATTTCCAGGCTGACAGAAGCAAGGGGAAATGCTGATATGCTTTACCAAGTGGCTGCAAGGCTCATAGGGGTTTTTTTTGATGTGGTAGCATGGCACGTGGTAATGAGTGTCATTTGGTTTGCTTCTGACACCCTTCACTGTGAATGAATCTAAAGGGTCAAAAAGGTCTGATGCTTCTTTTGCACTAATTTAAGTCATAAATTAGCCCAACAAAATTCATAGAATTTTTATAATAATGGCATAACACAAATCTAGATGAAGTGACTGCAAATAAAAAATAATAAAGACAAGTGTCTCCATTAAAAGAAAAATACATAGTTGAGTGAGAGAATCAGGCCACGGGTATGCATATATATAATTAATTACCTCAGAGATGCTACAGATGGACCTTGATAGAGTGGTTTGGTTTGTTGTTGTTTTGGTTTGGTGAGTTTTTTTTGTTGTTAATTCATTCATTAAATGGAACAAATAACAAGGTATAACAATGAATTTGTCCTCTGTAACTGGATATTATCTGTTACACCATGTCCCATTGCCCCATATGGGCAGCAGGAGGAAGCAGAAACAGTGTTTACCAGGACGCGTTAAAAACCAGAAATGCAACAATGTTTTCCTCTGTACCAATCTGTGCAGGTGGCAGGAGAACACACCGGTGTCTTTCTTTTCAAATAACCAGGCCACTCAATGACAGCTTTCGCAATAATTTAAACCACTGCTCCCTTGGGTCTGCAATTACCTGAGTATTAATGACAAGCAAAATACATCTTTCCCCTGCAGCTAAGGAGCAGTGTGCTCTCTGCCTTCATTACCCTCAAAGAGAGCTGAGAATGTGTCCTCTGGATCCTCAGCCTACACCTGACATCCTGGATAATTACACCCAAGCAACAAAAAAGTGGCCTTCTAATATTTGTGAGTATGTATGACAGCAAGTGTTGCAGAGCTGCTGGTGTTTTATGCACATTGCTGTGGGTTTAGGCCTTCTGTCCTACATCCTCTGCTCCTAAAACTCTTGTTCAGAGCTGCACAACAAAGCTGCAGCACGGTGGTCCCCCTGTGACCCCTCTCCAGTCAGGGAGCACTTCAGCAAGGGTTCAGCTCTGAAGCCTGGCTCCAACAGGGCTGAGCACACTCTTCACCAAGGCCCTGGGTGCAGGGTTTGGACTGCTGGGTGATGTGTGAGGATGTCCCAGCTGCAGTCTCCATCTGCACAACAAAGCAGCATTGTGTCCAGCTTGGAAAGAACAAGGCATTCATTTCCTATGGGGTCGTTTCCAGGTACCCAGCTTCATTTTCCGAGTGGTAAAATTTGGAGACACCATCAAACTGAATGAATGATAGAATTTTGTTACATTTCACTGAAATGCAAGTAATAAAAGTAATGTGACCCACCACAGCTTTACTAGATCAGACCCTCTGAAAGTGTTATTTTCCCAGTGAAGGAATGGGCAGCATGACATCCATCTGAATGTTCCAGAGGCTGGGAGATCCCAGTGCTGCTGTGCCTGTCAGCACAGGGAGCACAGGGAGCTGCTGTGCTGGTCCCTCCCAGCAGCACCAGCTTGGTGTCTGTTTTAGAGCAGATCACAGTTTGTGAAACACTTTCACTCAGTGCAAATAGTTTCACTACTTTAACGTTGGATGTTGTTAAGAAAGCAGATGGAATCAAGTAGTCTCTTAACATGCAATTAAGCATGATAATAAATGGCCTAAAATTTACCATGTGAACTGTCCTAAAGATCTTTTTTGCTGGAAAAGGCCACATTTCCAGTGGGAAGTTGTGGAAAGGGACACTGCCACAATGAATCTTGCTGTATTTAATTCTCATTCTCTTACTTTTCCTTGTGTCTACACCTGCAACATTCACCCCAGCTCATATAAAAAAACAAACGAATAAATAAAAGGCCAGTTTTACAGGATCAAAGAATCAATTAGACTGGAAAAGACCTCTGGGATGATCGAGTCCAACCTATGACCAAACACCACCGTGTCACCCAGACCGGGGAGTGCCACTTCCAGTATTTCCTTAGACATCTCCACGGACACTGGTTTTATCACATCCCTGGGCAGTCCGCTCCGATGTCTGATCACCCTTTCTGGGAAGAAATTTCTCCTAATGTCCAAAATAATCCTCCCCTGGTGCAGCTTAGGGCTATTTCCTCTTGTCCTGCCGCTCGTTGCTGGACGAGAGCCTGACCCCGCCGCGGCTCCAGGATGAGAGCGAGCAGGTCCCCCGGAGCCTTCTCCAGGCTGACCCCCCGGGCTCCCTCCAGCCCCTTCCGCAGCTCCGCTCCCTCCTCCGGACCTCCTTCAGCGCCACTGCAGAGCCGTGAGGAGAGCAAGCCGAGATTTCCGGGCCGCCCCCGCGGGGCGGCGCGGGGAGATGATGCCGGGAGATGATGTCAGCGGCGGGCGGGCGCCCAGCCATGGTGTGAGGGCAGGGACTGAGCCGGCCCGGCCCGGCCCGGCTCGGCGGCGGCGGCAGCACCATGTCGGGCCCGAGCGCCGTGTCGGACCCGCAGCACCCGGCGCGGCTGCTGCGGGCGCTCAGCTCGTTCCGGGAGGAGACGCGGTTCTGCGACGCGCACCTGGTGCTGGAGGGCGAGGAGATCCCGGTGCAGAAGAACATCCTGGCGGCCGCCAGCCCCTACATCAGGTACGGCCGGGCCCGCGGGCCCCGGGCGGCCGCTCGGCGGGGCCGGGCTTATGTAAGGAGCGGGATCGCCGCGTGTGGGGACGGACGGAGCAGCCGGGGCAGGCCGGCGGGGGCCGCGGACCCCGAGCGCAGGGAGGGCGCGGAGTTCCCTCTGCGGGTGTTCAAACCCCGGACACGCGTTCCTGTCACCTGCTCCAGGTGGGAGCTCCTGCCCTGTGCCTGCCTTGGCAGAGGAGCTGCACTGGGGGATCTGAGCTCCCTTCCGACACCAGCTATCCTGCGCTTCTGTGGGAGCAGCTGCTGGGCCCCCTCCTTCCCTCCTTCCCTGCCTCCCTCCTTCCCTCCTTCCCTCCTTCCCTCCTTCCCTCCTTCCCTCCTGCCTTCCCTCCTTCCCTCCTTCCCTCCTTCCCTCCTTCTCTCCTTCTCTCCTTCCCTCCTTCCCTCCTTCCCTCCTTCCCTCCTTCCCTCCTTCCCTCCTTCTCTCCTTCCCTCCTTCCCTCCTTCCCTGCCTCCGGCCGGTGCCGCCGGGCCCCTCCGCAGGACCCGTCGTGTTCTCGGCATCACAGTGCTGCTTTTCCAGCTCTGAGAGGCTGTGTCATCCACCAGGGAAAAAAAAATCCCCCCAACAACTTCATTGCTGCCGGGAGCCCGCTGTGAACAAGTGACCCCTGCAGAGTGAACTGTGAGGATGGCGAGGGAGGTGTCCGGCCGAGGGGCAGCATCCCGGGGGCATTGTGAGGTGCCGGGCTCTGTGTGTCCCTCGGCCGCACCGAGTCAGCACTTCAGCATCATTTTTTTCCTCCTTAATGCCTTTTAGCAAGACAGGGCTCCAGGTGGTGATCATGAGGTCTGAAGTACGTTGGCTTCTAAATTGAAAAATAAAAATACAGGTTTGTCTCCCCATCGCGTGTGCCCCCGCAACATCTAAGAACATCGCTTGGAAATTGCCAGAGTGACAAAGCCTGGCCGTGCCAGGATCGCTGGCAGCTCTTGGCAGGGGTGTCACCAGCATGTGCAGTCAGAACTGTGCCACTGACAGCGAGTGCTGGGGAGGACGAGCTGCATTAGCACAGTCATGGTTTCTGAGGTGCCTGGCAAGCAGCTGTGCAGGGAAACCCAGGTCATGGAAAGTCCTGCTGACACCAGTCTGAACCCCATCACACTCAGTGCTGTCAAGTCCAGTGACAGCAGGTGAAAAGAACATACCTCCACGAGATCTCATGGTACATGTCTGCATGTCAGAGCAGGTAAACAAAACATACAAGTGCATAATTTCAAAGTGTTTTTAAGTCCACTCATTTGCAGGTAATAAGGCATTTCTTTTGTCCTCATACGTAAAGTAGAAGCAGACCTTCTGTACCATTTAAAATCGGGATTATCATAAATTGATTGCAGACTTCTTGTACTGTTTGGACACTTCTTCCAGCTGCTGCTTCCTGTGAAGTTGACATAAAGTTTGCATTTTTTTGCTAGGTGAGGATGGGAATTCTTTATGCTACAATCTGAAAAAATGCAACCTTGTGCAGTGTCATAGCATCTGCTTTTAAACAAGACATTATTTTGGGTGACCATTGTAGTACAACTTTAACATTCTCAAGTACAAAAATAAACTAATAATAAATACAATATGAGGCTGGTGAATAACTTTTAAATAGCAATGGTCATGCACAGACTTAAGTAAACAGTTCTCTGCACCAAGCTAGCAGAACAGATATAAAATGCACATAGAAGGATCATCAAGAATTTGCAAAAAGGACATAGTGGAGCCTATGTACTACTAATAATTTTTTGTCACTGCTTGTCTTGAGAAGCAGGTTTGGAAGACTGTGGTGAAAGAAATCAAAGATGTGAAATAGAAATGAGCCATTGATTCATACTCTTCAAAATGCCTGAAAGCTTCTTAGGTCATTGGGCATCATATTTTAGATGACCATATGCCTGACATTAGGTTTCAGAAGAGTTGCTGCAGGTGGTAAGAGGTCATGTCCTTGGAAAAACTGCTGTTCTACTGCTACAGCAGGATGTGTTTACAGAAAATGTCAATTTTTTTACTGTGAAAAAAAAAATGCTTAACTAAAAGATACTGTAGATTGCCCTATGGAGCCTTTTCACAGAATTTCATCTCTAAGTTTTGCATTTTGTTAATCTTTGAAAAATGTACTGGGGAAACATGGGTTAATTGTCTGTGAGGAATAAGAGCTCCAGACACAACTACACTAGCAACAAAACCTGTAGTCATTAGAGCTGTGGTTTTTTTAAGCTCAGAATTGTTCAGGTTCAAATCTCATGAAGGAACTCATTAACTATGTGTGAAAGTAGGTTACATGCATTAATATATAAATATGATTAAATGTGAGGTTTGTTTTTTTTTTAAGCTTACTTATGTCTTCTCCTCAAGTTTTCAAGATGTAAAGAACTAAAAATACATGTACCTAGTTCTTGTATGGCACATTAGGAAACACATTTGTATTGCCTACCTTTGCAGAGCCTAATTTTTACTTGCTGCCTGTCTCTCTTCTTTTTATCACTCCAGGATCTCTCTCTTAGTCCAGCTGGTCTTCACATTGGGTAGAATTGGTCAGGTAGGTTGCCAATGTTGAAGCATTGTGTTTCCAGCCAAAGAACACAGTGGCTTTTTTTGAAGTTGAAATTAATCTCCACCTTGTACCTAGTCTGTGCAAATCAGTTGAGGCCTCTGTATAAACAGTTATTGTAGGAGACACAAGAATTTCCTGTCACTGTATTTTAAGGGTAGCTGATTCCAAAGCTCTGGTACCACAGGCTGTTACAGTCTCCAAATGCCAATTGATTCAGATTGCTCTCATTTGAAAAATTCCAATATAAAGCTCAGAAAAATCCATTAAGTAATTTCAGAAGTAAAACTTGGAATAAAAATAAGCATGTACGTGAAACTTGAAGTGAAGCAGTGGAAGTATGAGTTGATGTGGTGTTTTCAGTGTCTGGCTGTCTCATTATGTGCTGTGGCTGTGGGCAAGTTGGTGGGCGAGTTCAGAAACTGTAGGGTTTGCATGAATGCCTAGTTTAGGGTGTGAGTAGGAAAATAAGTAGGCATGGACTTTGTGAGGGGGTGGTTGGGTGTGAGCAGTCTGTGTGTGCTGAAGGATTTGTGCAGCCACAGAGAGAGGAGCGTTACCTGTTTTTTAGTTTTGCATGGGAGCTGTTTGGCTGACTGGTTATGAGTAGGACACTTGTAAATTATAGTGATGTGTTTTCCCACTAGTTATTTGGCAACTGGATTATCCATGCAGCTCAAATATAGCAGCTTCAGTGGAGAGAGAAAAAAAGGCATGAAGGGGCACAGAAACATATTGGAAGTCTTATTGGGGTCGTTGTTATATGTCCACCTGTCTGTCTGATCCATAGGGTGGCTTCTGAAAGTACAGAAAAATAAAAAAAGCCAGGTTTATTTTCAAATTTTCAGTCTGTGGGACCAGTAAGAATTTTAATTTTTGTGGTAGTTTGATTCTTGAGGTTTTGCCGCAACTGCTTAATGCCAAGTGGTCTGTAGCTCTCTCAGGCCAGTGAGGTCTGGAGTGGTTGTGTGAATTCCTACAGAATTCTTTTATATGTACAGGTTTATCTAATCCCTCTGTGTGCCCTTGGAGCAAATCCTGCCATTTACAAAGCACAGAAGTCTCCCTGCATATCTCTAACATCTTGTGGTATGTTCCTGAGCCTGAGAAAAGGAGGGCTCCTCAGGAAGAAACCACCACAGGACAAAGTGTGGTTTGGCTCAAGGTGATGCTGCTGTGCATCCCAGAGCAGTTATATTCAAGCCAGGTGAGCTCTTGATTTTCTCTTCTGTAACAAATCAGCCAGAAACCTGCCCTTTTTTTGGTAGCACTCTTTGTCCTTAGTGTAGATCCATTGCCCTGGTTTAATTTATTTAGTTTGAGAGCTTAATGTAAATTACATTGGTGTGAGAGGGCTTTTCCCTGAACAAACCATGCTTGCACTAGTAAGTTTGGCCTGAGTTGTGGCATAGATCCACCAACCTTTTATAGGATAGACTTGGTCCAAGCATTCCTGGTATCCTGAGCAGTAGCAGCAGATGTTCCCATCTGAACAGATCTGTCACTGGCTGGCATGAGTCGTTCCTGGCCAGCTGAAACTTGCACCTCTTTATATTTTGCTCATTTACTGTCTGCTTGCCTGGATCACAGGGAGCACGTGGGAACTACCTCAGCAAAGAGGCTATTTAAGCCCATATTCTTAGACAAATTTAATGTTGTTACACGCAGGGATTGTGCTGCTGCATTACAAATTGAATTAAGACATTTTTGTTATCTCAGCAAGTTTTGTCTTTGATTTTCACGCATCTGCATGAGCAGATTACAGATGGCCGTGTGTGTTCTATACTGTTCCCCAAGGCTTTTCAAACTCAGTAATGGACCAGTAATCATATTTAAATCTTTTTTCAGAGGAGCATAATATAACTAAACAAGAATGTAAATGTGAGGTTAAGTTCACATTATTTTTACGTACTTATAAATAGCTGTACTGCTTGTAAATGGGCTTTGGTCAGAAATAACTTGACAGCCTTTGCATCTTCTCACTTGTCCTGTTCAACCTTCTGACATCTCTAAAACACTGCAGACCTTGTAAGACCCTGCACAGCCACAGCCAATGCTGAAATAGATTTCCATGGAGATGTGGGGGACGTGCCCCCCATGACTGACCTCCCGCCCTTTCCTCTGTGTGCCTGCACTTGGAGCGTTTGCAGCTGTCACGAGGGGAGCCTGCTGAGACTCCATCCCTGTGTGAGCATGTCTCGGAGCATCCATGAGTGCTGGTGTGGGAGCTGGGACAGGATGTCCCCCCTGCACCCTGGAGGTGCCACTGGGTGATTCTTGTTACACCTGTTGGACAATGAATATTGTAGAACAAGGTCAAGTAGGAGCCAACACATGCCAGGAGCTTCTGCTGCTTATTTCCTGGTACCTGTTTGGTCTTCACTGACATTTATAGAGATCTTTTAT